TAATAAGTAATTGCATTTAACCGCTGATCAGCGGCGATGCGGGCATTCACGTTAATTAGGTGACACTTTTTGTTCGATCGTCGCTTCGCCTCAATTAGCACGAACGCTAATCGATCGGCGACATTACATAATGCAATCTGTACGGACCCCGGTTGTTTGACACGAATCGTTAAAACTGTTAATCGCCTAGTTGTTTTTTTGTTAAAAAAAACAAAATTTAACCAATATTTTGTGTTCGTGTGTTATTAAACACAAGTTTTTTTTCAAATGAAATAATTTCTTAGACTGCAGAATCGATACATGATTGAGAGTGCCGTCGAGATCTACATTGACACGTAAATCAGGCAAGGACGCGCAGATTAGGAAATAATTTACTAGTGTTTCCGGACTACTAGATGCAGAGGAATTAGATCAGAACATCGGAATGAAACGATGGTACCTGATAATTACGAAAGAGTATATCCGTTATTTTAATAGAGTTACCTGTGAGTTGACATCTTCGTCACATTACTCTCACTGCAATAACAATTAAAGCAGCACGCCAGACACGATTATCGGCTGGGTAATTATCTTATTACACAAAAAAATAATTTTCTTCCACTCTCTCTGATTGTAACTGTTATATATTATTATTATTATAGCAACAAAAACATTTCGTTCAAAGTAATTCGTTCAGAGTAATAAAAACTTTTTTCAAGAAAGAAAGAGAGAAGGAATTCTTCCTCACACAAAGAATTTCTTAAATATTAAAACATGTACATGAAAAGATTCTAGTGTGTATGTGTGTATGTGTACACGCGCATCGAAACGCGCTAAAAGCTCAAGAATGTAGAAGCTCTTAGCAATTCACAATAAGCCGCGGATTAAATTTTATCCAGAAAGGGAAAAATAGAAATTGCTTTTCGAATACGTACTCGCCGGCGTTGGTTTTTACAACCGATCTACTATTTGTGAGTTTCCAGGGAAAACGTTGCGCAAGTCGAAGTGGACAATTTCGTTGGTAAATCTCTTTAATCCTGACGATGTCAAATCCCTAATACCGCAACCTCCTGAGACGTAATTTATTTACGCGCTGTGTATATATATTTGTCAACTTTATATTTCAATTATAAAATAAAAACGAGAGTTTTTAGCGTCTCGGGACATCAGCGTCGTGACACTGTAAAACGGTAAAATCTTGCTGCTCGTTGGGGTTTATATCAGACAAAGTTATTTATGTGCTCTTGTGTGTGTGTGTGTGTGTACGTGCGCGCGCGCGCGAGTTCGCTTTTGCAGAAATAAATCATCTCGCGGCACATCTCACATTCCGTTATTAAAGGAATTCGCGCGCGATAACGCTGAATAACGGTTGTAAAACGGTAGAAAACGGGCCGTCTATTAAGTTGCAATTAACCTTCCGACCGGGCGCAACGTAACTCGCGTTCTGTACAACACGACCCACTTCAATATGTTAATGCCGTTTTCTTCCGCTTGACCGAGGAGAAGAAGTCTATCGAGTAAGTTGTTTCCGTCAGAATCTTGCAACATTTAATTACAGATTTAGCAAATAAATACTTTCCAGAGGTCGAGATTTACGTTCAGAATGTGTATAAAATTCATCATTTCTCTACAAAAAATGTTGCTTTTTATAAAATTCTTTTTAGTGATTGAGAAAAAGAGTGAGTGAGAAAAGTTTTATAATCTCAGATTCATTCTGTCATCGAAATATATGTCACGATTCCGAGTTGTGTATATCACATAATACGGACGAGCTAATGCTTCGCTTTTTCAATACATTATGCATCTCTTTCTATCTCTCTCTTTCTTGTCGCGCGGAAGATATAACGACCGCCATTAGGATCTTGATGGTTAATCGTTCACGGCGCGAGAGAATTTATCATGTCGTGTACGATAAAGGTACATATAAGCTCTGTTTAATAAGGGGGGGAAAAAAATCTCGTTTGTCTCATACACGCCGACGCACATCGGCGATCGCACAACGTGCGCATGTCAGTGGAGAGGGGACTCGCGCGAGTAAAGCTCTAATATTTCAATACGTTATCTGCAAAAAGTCAGGCTGAAAGCGATCGATAGCGCAAGTCCTTCGAACGAATGTACGTGCACGTTTATACGGCGGGTAAATGTTTTTTTTTTTTTTTTTATCGGCTTTGTTTTGTGAGTCTCTAGAACGCGTTGCGACTAAATCGCGCGTTATTATTGGCGATCGAACTGGATCGAGATATGTACGCGCAACCCTCGCGGTTGCGCCCGCGATCCTAATCCGATTTTGCACTTTGCATAATATATCGCGCGACCTATCGCGTCGCGCGCCCGTCCAAATCCTCGGACAACTAGTTTTCCGCGACAAGTTTTGCGGATATATAAACTACGTGAGACTCTCTTGGTAAAATTCGATTATTCGACGACGGCTTTTCAACGTACGTCTCAAACAAAAATGTAGAACTCTACGCGATCATTGTTGAAGTGTTCATTCAACGTTGTTCTAAAGCTGAATTTTCAAATAAGACGAATGAACATTGTGATGAGCGTAAGTGAACGAAAGTGTACGTTGATAAGCCCGCGTCATGTAGTACGTCTCGTTTCGTGCTAAATCTAATTGTTGTTTACTTGCTACTAACTTTGCCCGAGACACGAGTTAGCAACTATTTAATTACGGCCACGAGGTTGTCTCTATCACTAATTAATCACTCCAGAGACGCGTGATCGAACATTGTACTGTAATATTTAGCAATTAGAAACCGTTTGATACGAGAGTAACGTTCTCGTCTTATTGTCGAGTTTTTAAAAAAGAGAACACTTAGTAAGTAATCGTTCGTGCGCAAGTAATCGAATATTTTTATTCCATGTCAGCAGATTATTATTCTCATTCATCGCACCATCAAAAAAACAATGATGTATCACGGTAATATGTTACGATTATATCTCGCTGCAAGAAATTTACTCGGCCGTTAAGTCGCAAGTATTTGCTCGCGGCAGCGAATAAATCCTCATTCGCCGACCGGTTATTTTCTCGCTAGCTAGCTCGAGAACGTATCGTCACGCATTCTTATTTGAAATCGCATTCCACTCGCTTAAAGTTTCCTCAATCGTTGTCGTACCATCGATAGATGCGGTAATGAACAGAGAATCCCGTAAATCTGCGAAATCGCGGTATTAAAGAAACGTAATCAAACAAAACAACGTCGTTCTAGCGCTTGAGTGTGGGCGTAGGGTCGCTGAACGTCGAATAAAAGTAAGATTGTAATGTATCTAATGGGTGCTCTATGTATAATTGACTTCCTGAAGAGCGAATGCGCAGTCTGCTATAAAGCGTTCGATCAACCGCGCTTCCTTTGGATAATAGTTATAATGAGCAGCTAACTATAATTTGCGTGCTGATCAGCTGACTGCAATAACAAAATGCAAATCTGCGGTCATTAAGCTCACGTTACACATAAGCACGCATATATACGTAAGAAAAATCAATAAAATAGATAATTTTTTAAGAGTGTTTAAAAACTTAAATTAATTTAATTTTGTTTAATTTTAGATATGTAGTGAAAACGTATTGAAACATCATCTCTCAAAACGTCTACTTTTTGTCACAATCGAGTTAAGTAAAATGTACGATTTACAACACAACAACCGTGTCTGGCTCTTATTGGCAATGTTTGCTGAATCCACTACATATCTTAACACATTTAACTTATACTTTTCTCGATTACTCCGGAATTCCCTGATTCTTGGCACGTGATGTCACTTAATTGTTTGCGTGTCGAATATCAGAGAAGTCCGCCAGTTTTTGCTCGCAATTGATGAAAGTTGCTAGCGGTTTTCAGTCAACTTGACGAAGAGAGAGAGAAAGAGAGAGAGAGAGAGAAACACGTGACGTCAGTTGGCGGAAGTCAATTGGCGAGTCGTGCACACACGAGAGTTGATTTTACGAGCAGCCTTCTCTTTCGCCGCGGTATTAAGTTTAGCCACTTCGGTCTGACACGGGCAGTGTGTCAAGATCACTCGATCCGTAGGTGATATCGGTCACTCTCTATTCATTCCTCTTTCTTCGCTGTGATAGAGGCGCGCTCACAAAGTGTCGCTCACAAAGTGGTGCCGGTAGATTCGCGTGTAGCAGAAGAAGTGGATTCGGAAATCAGAGAAAGACAGGAAGAGAGAGAGAGAGAGAAAAGAGAGACTACTTCGAATGTCACTCGAGAGCAGCATGATAGGCCGATAGGTTGCCGCATGTCTACTTTCATCTTTCCCGGCAAAGCAGTAGATAGGTTCTTTGAAGAGAATACCAGAGTAGCTCTGTGGACAGAGTGACGAGAGAGAAAGAGAGAGAGAGACAGATGGTGATTGTCTGAGATCCAAAGAGGTGAGAAAACTTTCCCTTTTCTTTGGAAAAGAAATAAGGATTCACGTGCTAGGTAATTTTTAATAAAGTGAACATAGATAGAGAGAAGCATACGTTAATAATAATAATAAATTAATTTATAAAAGACAATTCAATGTCTAATTGCAAGTTACATGAAAAAAGTAATTGAATAAGCCTAAATTTTTGAGCATTTTTTAAAATTAGGTGTTTACAAATAAAATTATTTAGAAAAAATTTCATTCTGTACAGGTACAAATAAAATGTAACGTTTTTTTACTTTACTCAATCTTCTTCTAACTGTCTATCTATAAACATGTTTGAAACATAGTAACGTTTGACTAATAACAATACGCAAGGTCATGACAGATATATCAATCGTTCTTTTTACGAACATTATTCAAACGATTGTTACGCGACCGATTGCACATTTTGTTCGAGATAAATTTATTCACAAACATCTAATTGTAAAAAGTGCTCAAAGAAACTCAATTACTTTTTTATGTAAACACACATTTATCCTTCGCAATAGGTTCTGAGAGTGGTACTGTTTGAAGTTCTATCACAATGACAACGATATAAGTCGGATTGCCGTTAAGAGAGATCGACCGAAATGGAATAACGAAGAAACTTATCCGTTTGATTGCAGAAAAATGCAGCCACGAGTGACAATCCAGGCTCTGGCTACGGTCTGGCTGGCGGTGGTGGGTTTAGTAGGAGCAGCAGTCACCCACCGCCTCTCGCACGATCAATACTTCCCCGCGTCCCCGCATCGTCACTCCAGGGTTCAACGAAACCAGATCAGAGACTGGAGGGATCCGGCCGAGGATCAACCACTCGACCTTTGGATCGGCTCGCGAAGGTCGATTCCCGCAGAGGGTATGTCGAACTTTAAAGATGTCTCGCTGAGAGAGAAATGAAGCGCCTTATATACTGTGTCTCGCTGTTAATTCAAGAATTGAATACGCGGAAATTACTATTTTATATAGCAATATATATCAGAGAGAGCTTATAGTAACACACACATAATTTTTGTTTGCAATTATTAACACCGATTTTTTTAACACCGATCGCTAAATCTGAATCTATAGAATTGTAAATCTATAAAATTTGTGATATATATATATATACGCATCTAAAACTTATTTTGGTAATGTACTCTTGACATTTCGATCTTATTTGCTAGATAGATATATACGCTCTACTTCAACTGGCTTCGGTTACGTCAGCGATTTAATTTTGTCGAGTCACCTCGTCTAATGAAGACGGAATAGACGCGTCGCGACGAAGTACAGCCTAATGAAATCCGTTTGCTTCGACTTTCCTTCTCTCTCCGGTTTTCCTGATTAATCACAGTCCCCTTTTGGTTGTCGTATTCCGTGCAATTCCGATATCGGCCAAGCACTATCGCGCCCATGGCTATTAAATCGCATTTTCCCATTTTTATAACTTATTTCTAAAGTGCAATCATTTCCGCAATGCAAAATTGAATATTTTACTTTAAAATATCCTTTAAATTTATTATTCTAGTGCGAATAAGTTATCTTTTTATTTGATACAAATAACGATAAAAGTAATTTATAGTTAAAAAAATTAAAAAACCGTAAGTGTTTCAGGCATTTCGTTTATAAGAAGTTTTCCTAACTACGTTTTTCAGAACTACCAGCGCTACCTCACAGCTCCACCAAGTTTACCGAGCAAAATTTGCCGCTTGAGAGATCCCCGAAGGAGGACATTGTCTCTTCAAAGCGAGACTACCCCTTTTCGGCTTGGCAGAAGTGGTTACTGAATATCGCCGGTGCGGAATTCGAAGCCGACAAAGTCGATTACGGTTACGAGATGCCGCAGACGCTTTCGCGCGAAACGGTGATACTTCCCTCAGATCTCTTGGACGATCCCTTTGTGGCGGATGACACGTTTCAAGATCAAGGACCGGGCTCGGTGGAGATATACAAGTTGGATCTATCCAAAGAGAATGTTTTGCTGACCGCAACCACGCCCACCAACGATTTATTGCCGAAAAACAAGAGCAAATCCCCGAAGAAGACAAGCCATCTGAACTCCAAGACAAAGACAACAGAGATTAAGTTAACGACGACGCCGAGTACGAAGACTCATCACGAGCAATCGAACGTGTTCGAGGAGCAACGAACCGAAACGCCTTCGGTCAACACGAACTCCTTTGGCGTCGGTGGCGTGCCGGAGCTACAGGTTGGTTGCGAAGGTCTCGAAGCGTTGTCGTCGTCGTCGTCGTCGTCCCACAAGGCGAAAAGATCGATAGATACGCCCGACAAGGAGCAACGGCAAGTGCCCGCGTCCATTCTACAAGACGTGACGCCGATATCCCTAGATTTTGACTATGACTTGACGTACGACGACGAGGAGGAAGAAATGGACGAGCTGTTAAAGCTTAAAAGATCAGAAACCACAAAGAAGATCAAGACAAACAGGGGCGATATGGACGCGAGCTATCTCGATTCCGATCATTTATCTAACCAACCGGACAGGTTACCGGTTCGTGGGGATCTCGGTGAATCCACACATTCAGACGAGACGAGAATCGAACGGAACGAGTCACTCAGGAAAATCGAAATTAAGAATCGAGAGGAGATTAAAGCGAAACGGATGCCGATTTTATCGGACAATGATGATGGCGCCAGCAAGAATCGCGGTCGACGATTGCTGTGGCTCGCCGAGGCAAATACCGAGGGATTTGCGTACGACAAAAGCGAGCAGAAACGCGCCGAGCGATCGATCGATTGGGGTTTCGGCGAGGACGAGGGCGTCGTGTCCAGTAACGAGTTGCAAACCATGAACGCGCGTCGTAGGAAGCACGACATGCGATATCATCAAGACGCTGCTCGAAAACGTGACCAGTATTACGAAGTGAATTCCGACATCAATAAGATCAGGCGAGAATACGAGGAACATCTCGCGCAAAAACGCAGAAAAGAGGAAGAACAAAGATTGCGACAACAGCAACAGAATGATCGAAAAACGCCGAACAGATGGATGGAGGAAGAGGAAAGGAGAAGAGACGAAATGCGGACGAGACAGTACGATGAGTATGTCAGGAAGATGAATCATATTCCCGCATCTCGTACGGAAGATGATGAAGCGCGACGACGACAAATGGAGGAACGACAACGAGATGAAGAGGAACGAAGACGACGATTGCAAGAGGATGAGAAAATGAGAAGAAGATCGCAGAGCAAATGGCAAGAGAAAAATGTGAAGACACCAAACTTTAGGACACCTGTGTATGATGAAGAGAAAATACGAAGATCTGACGAAGAGATGAGAAGGGAGGAAGAAGCCAGAAGACAGGAGTGGTACAGAAAGCAACAAGAAGCGCAAAGAAAGAAGGATGAGGAGGAACGCAAACGTCAAGAAGAGAATCGACAACGAGAAGAGCAACGTAGAGAATTAGAGAGAAGAAGACAGGAGGAAGAGGAAAGAAGGCGACAGCAGCCGCCGTCGAACTTGATGGACACGAGATCCCAAAGCAGGCATCCAAATGATATCGAACGGCGCGATCGAGACGAAGAGAGACGTATGCGAGAAGATGAGGAAAGAGAGAAAAAGCTGCGAGAATATATTGCGCGGAATCAACCAATCAACGTCAATCATCTTGATCAAAGATCGGAGGAGGAAAGACGGCGTTACCGACCCGAATATAACAGAGATTCGCAGATTCACGAAATGAACAGGAACGTTGAAGAATATCGTCGACAAATGGAAGAGCAACATAGAAGACAGGAGGAAGAGCAGCGCAGGAGGCAGGAAGAAGAGCAGCGCAGGAGGCAGGAAGAAGAGCAGCGCAGGATACAGGAGGAAGAGCAGCGCAGGAGACAGGAAGGAGAGCAGCGCAGGAGACAGGAAGGAGAGCAGCGCAGAAGGCAGGAGGAAGAACAACGTAGACGACAGGAGGAAGAAGAGAAGAAACTGCAGGATTACATCAAAAGGAATCAGCCGATTGACGTACGGAACAATCAATCGACTAGTCGTAACTTGTTCGAGGAGCGAAGACTGATCGAGCAAGCTAGACGTCGCGACAGATATTTTGATCCAGAAGCGGGAAAACACCGCGGACCATCAGTATCTACGTATATCGATCCGCGAAGCTCGCCGGAGGAAATCCGGCGTAGGCAGCAAGAGACGGCGAGAAGACAGGAGGAAGAGAGACGAAGAAAAAAAGAGCGAGAAGAGAAAGACAGACGACTGCGAGAGGAACAGATGCGAAAGGAGGCGGCTAGGCGAGAACAGGAAGCGAGACGAGAGCAATCTAGGCGGTACGAGGAAGAGAGGAAGCGGCTGGAAGCGGTGAGGTTGCGAGAAGAGAGGAGAAGGCAGGAAATGTTGAGGGAACGGTCCAGAAGCAAAACTGAAAGAACGAGACGGCCGGAAGCCACGAGACCGACCTATTACCAAGATCCTCGTCTGATGGAGCACAGAAGACGACTGGACAGCCACCCGATTCCGAGTAATTTGGTACGGAATGAAGAGGAGAGAAGAAAAGAACGTGAAAAACAACGACTGGAACAAGAGGCCGAGAGAAGACGACAACAGAACAGGTAAATCAAAATCGCCAGAGTTGTGACGATGAACTCGTGAACGCGCTTGCTCATTCGGACCGCCCGAACAAATCACATCTCTATTTTCATATCCATAGGTGGAGGCAAAACAGACGGAATGAGTCCGAATACGAACGGAGTCGACAGGAACTAGCCAGACTACACTCTTTGCCGATAAGCGCGAGAATAATAGTTCATCCTATTAACTTCACACCGTCACCCGACACGCCGACAGTGGTGGAACCAAGGAATAATAACGAGATCAATTTCACGGTGAGTTTTCCATTTGTCTGTTGAAACACTTCACCGTGCTCGCGCGGACTTGATCCCAACTGTTTACCGAGCGAATCCGATCTCGGCGCGGTTGCCGATTGTCTCGCGTTACCGAACCGAAGCGCGCTTCATTAAACCGCGGGGAAAGTTGCGGCGAGTTAGGGTGACCCGCTCCCGTCCCTCACTCGACCTCGACAACCCCATAATTGCATCGCTTTGTTCCGCTTAATTGACCGAATGCCGAGCAGCGCAGTCGCCGCCTTTCTTTGACGTTTCCTTGCTACGATCTCGTTGTAAGTGGCAACAAAAATAATTTTCTAGATGATGGTGTAAACACACACTCATGTAATACAAAAACAGTTACTTGAATGTTAATTGAATTTCTAAATTAACTGGATATGTATATAAACCGTAACTATAACTAAACGAGTGTATCAGAGAAAAAAATGTTGCAATTCTGTGTTTGACTGTTTTCAGGGAATCAACCCGCATCGCGAGGGCGTGCAAGTAGCGAAGTTCCCTGTCGCCCCGACTTCGAGACCACCCGTTCCGAGTCCAAAACCGTGTGTCTGGGCAGTTGTTCATTGTTGTTCGTCTAACAACAGTCGTCTCTCCAAGTGTTTCGAATCGTTGGGTTGTCCCGGAATTAATTGGGACCCCAATCCGTGCAGCAATTCTATTGTAGAAGCTGCCAGGGCGGAAATCATGAAGTTCTACGAAAGCCAATAACACTAACTAAGATTTGTCCTTCGCTCTTTGACAAACGAATGCCCAATTTAACACCGCGAAATATTGTACATGTACAATACACGTAATTGTGCAATGTAGAGAATGTAATAATTTTGTTATAATAATCGCAAACTAAAACGAATATTTTTTTATTCGCTTCACTCGTAGTAAAATAGTGCGTGTTAGACATTTATAGTGCGACTCCCCTGAAGGAAAATTCCTCATATGTGGACAAATTCGATATTCAGTTATGTACAATCGTACACGTATGAGAGAGCGTTTCAATCTCATAAAAGATTACATATAATTGTATGTAACCGATCACATCGAATTTGTCTATATGTAAAGAACTGTTTTTCCCGGGTAATATTTAATTGTAATCAGCAGGCATTAAAACAAGAATTTCAACTTTTATGAAGTAGAGCGCAGTACGTATTTGCCTTCGGCGTCGAAAATCGAAAAACCGTGTTTCATAGATTTAACAATCGCTTTAGTCTCTAATATTGATCTATTGGTCGCCGGATAGTGGCCATTGCCTCGCGTAGCATGTAAATTTATGTATAGCAGTAAAAACAGAAAGAAAAAAATACTAAAAAAGGTGTATCATGTTATCGTTTACCAAACACGTTTGCATGTGCAAACATAACGCACGATAGAGGAGCGCGCGCGTTTTAATTGCTGTACATTTTTTTGTACGTAGCCGTTGTTCTTCGCAGCTTTTTCCACATGTGATATAGAATGTAGGCTTTAATACATTTGTAAGAGCCGACAAAATATTTATGTAATATACAAAAAGGAAAAGAGAGACAGAGCAATAAAGTTATCTCAAAAATTGTACAACCTAAAATACCCATACACATTCGTGTAGTTGCTTCGCGCGACGATTAAAAACTTCGTTGCCGACGCGAGATCCGATCAATTCGCCGTTGTAACTTGCTACTACAACATTGACATGTCGAAACGTGTTCACTGATTACACCTTGTCAACACCGTAAAAAAAAAAAACTCATGCGAGTAAACGTCTGCTAGAAACGCTGTTTGCACATCCGATTTGGCAATTTTTAATTTTAATTCTCATCTTAACGGTATTCGAAATTCGTGATAAATATATTTGAATATAGAAATATCAATTTTTTATGTCGCTGTAACATATTCACAACAACCGAGAGATTAAATACTGAATTAAAGTGAGACACTTCGCGTGCCACCGAAAGAGAGAGATTTCTTACTCGTGCATTTACGATAATCGCCGTTACAGACCGAAAAACTACCAACCGCACTGCATTTACCCGCACCGCCGTTCTTCTTTCTCGGTTCTTTTTTTTTGTTCGCGCCAATTTGCTCGCCGTGACCGATAACAAGACCATTCAACGTTTAAGAGCTTGCAAACGTTTCCCGTCCAATCAGTTTACATTGTTGAATTCGTAGGCACTACCTCGCATCACGTCTCGACACGCGGTATAAGGTAAGAGCAAACACCTAGTAGTCGGCTATTGACGCGAGTACGTAACCATTTTCTGTCATTTACTGCGTGTTGCAATCGCCGATGCATCTGACGCGAAATTACTCTGATGAAAATTGAAACTGTCACTTTGCATCGAACGATGCCTACTCATTAGAACGGCTGTAACTACGTCGAACATTCATTAGGACGAACTTCATTAAACAAAGTTCTCAAACAATCGGTTTTAATTATTTGCGCGCAATAAAAATGTCTCTCTGACAGAAATGTCTCAATAATTCCCACTAATTGTTACCGTGTTTTTTACACAAACGTAGAAAGTAAAATAATACAAACAACTTGAACTAAGCTGGACACGTGCTTTTTTTTGACAAGTACTTTTAGCACTTACGCGCGGATTACGCTCTAATCGCTGAAGAACGCGGTCAAGGCAAGCGTCGAGGTTCAGCTTGCTTTTTCTTTTTACCATGTATTATATTTCTTTCATCAATACGTCATATGTAATGTGCATTAATAATTTATAAGCGTGAATTTATTTAACATTTAACATATTGTCAGATTAACAGTTGAAAACTCAAAAATCTTACGTTAATTGCAAAGAATTGCTTTCGGCGATAACAACATTTTCATCGTCAAATGTATCGTCGTTTTTATTTAAATTGCAAAAAAGACTTAAGATGCGACATTTTACTCCGAGTTACCTTGTACATCGAACGTAATAAATAAAGATAGGTGCCACCATCCAAGATGGAGCATGTTCTCGCGACGTGATACGTTACAGCAGGTTGTCAGTGATGCATAGTACAAATCATGTCGCGCACAAGATAGAGAGATCTTATGTCTGAAGTTTCCTCCCACGCGCGCGCGTGCACACACATAAAGCCTAATAACAGACTGTCGAGGAAGTCGACAGCGTGTCGACGACAGGTGCGCATCCAGCATCCTCAAGGATCATCCTCAAGGCTATTGCTTTTGTCTACGTCTTCCTGATACACATTCAAGATGCAACCTCGTGTATTCAACTCTACGTTCTCCCGACGACGTATCTTTTTCATCGTGTTCGCAAATCCGCGCACAAGCGGCAATAATGCAATTCATAAGACTAGTTTTGTCTCGATGTATAAGAGGGTTTGCTGCGCGCAACGTTTTCCATTAAAGGCAGATCGAACTTTCCCCAAAAGGATTTATGACGGATCTCTAATTCGCGAAGAAAGACGCCGCTCTCCTTTTAAATGTTTCCGTCAGAGCGTATGATGTAATTACGATTGCTGCAATTCTGATAAATTAATTACATAACGTCGCGCACATCGCGCAGGAAAGATATTTCAAGAGTTTTGCTCTTGAGTGAGATTTTATTATGTTGTTTTATTTGTACGGTTTAGGAAGATATTTAAAGATATGTGTGTACAAGTAAAGGATTTATTTCTGTAATACACACACACACACACACACACACGCGTATACGCGCGACATAAGAGAGTTATTTCCCTCTCAATCACACGTTTGCAGCACCACCACTCCGCGCTCCGATTTGCAGCACATCGCGCGCAAACAGATAATACGCGCGCAATGTCCTCCGCGCCAGAGAAGCGTACTGAAGTGTACAAACAGCCCACCCGTGTGTATACCCGTGCCCATCCTTGCGTCGGGATGTTGCTTTTGTTGCAACCGCTTGTATTGTTCCTCGCTAAAAGAGCCGTCGAACGCGCTGAACGGTTTTCTTGGTCGCGCTAGAAATTCGCGAGTGACATTTTAGATTGCGTCTAACAATAAAAAAAACAAAGAAAAAAGAGCAAAATTAAATCTCTTTTCTTTCTGTATATTGAGAAAAACTAATTTCCTTTTTCCTCCTTCGTTTTATTATAAAATTATTCTTTTGTATTTTCTCAACGAAGAAAAATTTCCGAGATGCGATTTTGATTAATTATATTATCGATTGGAATGTTAAACGACGCAACGGATTAATTCTCTTAATATTTACTGATACGCACACATTGTCAAGGTAACTTTGATTAAAAACGTATCTCGAATCGCGTTATAGTCTCCGCAAAATGTTATAATCGCAGTCACGGAGAGAGAGACACGTCATCGCGTTCTCTCATCCTTCTTCCTTTTCCCTGTTAAAACACGAGCGAATTCGAACAACAAGCGCGAACCGGCACCGAAAAGCGAGAGATTCTCGTAGGATTTTCTCGCACGTGAAAACCGCCGCGCTCTGTGAAATTGCATGTGAAACTTGTGGTGTTCAATCATTTTTTCGCGAACGTGCGCATCCGCGAAATAATCGCGTATATTCGCGTAACTCGAGCATCTACATGTTTTTTTTTATTCCTTCGCTTCACTTTTTTTAACGCTTTTTTCTTGTATTACTCCGTCCTTATATCTTTTCTTCGAAAATTTGTTTGAAATGCTTCGCCGTTCGTAATGCTCTTATTCTCGTCTTCGACGTTCTTCTCTCAACAAATAGCTTACGCGGAAAATCGAGAAACAAACAACGTGAAAAGGCTGCTGCACCGAAATCCGAGATGCAGCGATATCGCGCAAGAGTATGTGTGTACAGCACAGAAAGAGAGAGAGAGATAAGTACTCTCGGGGCTGGTATCAGGGTATCTCTCTTCTGGTATACAAATGGTCGCAAATACGTAACGAGCAAACAACACGACAAGTAACGCCGAGCAATGACATAGCGGTCGTCGTTATATCGAGGAAGTGGAAAGTAAGGGGGTTGTTCGCGCAGCGCGCACACGGCCTTCATTCCCTCCCTCCCGGTGTCTCTTTCTCTTGTTCTTCCCTCGATTCAATTCCTCGGTTACATGCACGTGGACTTGCGCGCTATTCCTTTTCACGAGATAACATCGATAACGTACGGAACCTCGATATTCGCGTATCGAAATTCCGATCGTTCAACGTCACCTTCTATGCTGTCACGATCGAACGTTCCCCCTCGTTCTGCGTGCGTTGGCAGCGCGTTTCCGGTTCGCGGGGCTTTCTTTGATCGCAATTTTAAGCGTAAAACGTATGTGACGCTCGTCGCCGAGAGAGCAGCGAGACGAGACGACGGTATTTTCACGCGAAAAAGCAAAGAAAAATGAGTCGCTTTTTAACCAAACCGCGGAAATCTCATCACGTTTTGCAAAAGAGATATCCGGTTAATGAAAACTCTCTCATAATTGCGCAAAAAGTAATGCAAAAAATATGTACTTTTGTAAAATGCGCGGTTGGAGATATTTGAAAGTAATAGAAATAAAATATATACGCGCGATTACAGCGAAGAGAGAATCTTAACGTAAATGTTGACATGTAGCAACGCTTATTGTGACATTTAAGTGACGTTTCGATATTCTTATTTATTAAAAATCCACTAACTTAAGCGATAGAAAAAATAAACGATATTACAGACAAAAAGATAAATGTGCTTTTTTAATTTTCCTTTTTTTGTGTCAGAATTATATTTCATTTTCTTCATTATTCATGCTTGAGATACTCGATAAAACAGACTTACCGCCATCACCGCGCTGCGCGACACTTCTCTTGTCTCCTTTTCCCATATTTTCTTCTCCCGCTGCTCCCTTTAGGATGAGATGCTTGTTCCTTCGGTCCCACCTGAAACCCAAGTGAAACATAATTTGTTAGCTACGTTTTTTCTCGTTTTTTGTCTATGTAAGTGAAATGAATGTATATACGCATACGTCAGATGAACGTCTCAGTTACATCCGCGCAACAATTTTCTTATCTCAACATCGAATAAATCCACAATGCACCTCTTCGAAAAGAAATGCTTACGCGTTACACGTGCAACGTTCATCGCGCTGTCATTCTGGTCACGTACGATCGAAGAGACGCGAAAAACGGCTCCATTAATAAAATAAAACGATGGAGACACGTGATTCTGTTTTTTCCCCGCGATACGATCTATAATCTCGTGAACGTAAAGAAGATATCACTGATAATATCAACGAGTATAGCTCGGTGTACATGTGTATGTATTATTTCTACTTTCCTTCTCTCTCTCTCTCTCTCTTTCTTAGTCATATTGTGTTTACGAAGTTAATGATGATCAAACATCTTGTGATTGCGTTCTCTTGTTTTATCTACTGATGATCTAAGAACGTCGCAGACACTCCACCTTATAAAATATCCTTACAAAATTACCTCTTCCAAGAAAGGTTCACAGAAAATTTGCCCAGAGTACGCGCGCCTCTCGAGAAAGTGTTACTGTTCAACCGTTGCTTGGGATATGAAAATAGCTTGTTTCATCTCGACGTCCACGGTCCGTCGTTTTACACGGAATTCGTTATGTCTGGAACGCTCGGAACTAGGCGGGGAAACGCTACCGCGTCTCTTGATATTGCAGAAATTATTTTTCATCAAAACACATGTATGTAAGAGATATTTTTCAGAATTATGAGAAAGAAAATGTGAGCAATGCAAAATCAACAGCAATATTGGTCTTGTCCGCTGTGTTATTTTCTTTCTCTCTCTTTTTTCATTTCCGTATAAACCAACGCGAAACACTGGGGACGTAAATCAAAGGATAAACGCTTTGCGACATAGCATTGCGACGATTCTAAGTTTCGGGGCTATGGGAGACGAGCATGATAGGGCCCCAGCGCGTTTGTTAAACGATCGGAGCGCGCGCGCCTTGCCATTTCGACTGAAAGTTTCACAACGCTGTTACGGCGCTTCCGGACGAATAAGTAACGAGTTTACGCTCGCAGCTTGCAGGATTTCAATTTCGCGTCGAAAACTTATTGGAACACTATCGCCCCGTATTCCGCGTTCTCGCTCGTAACGAGCTGCATTGAGCATCGACTCGAAAATATAGTCGATTACACTATGTCATTGTATTTTATTTGTATTTTTGTTTTTTATTTATTTAAAATTGCTTCGAATCGCCGCGTGTTGAGCATAAAATCCGTAACCATGCCATTGAAATAATATAACATAGTGTGCAAAAATTTTAATTAATATTAAATATTTTTTATTTTCGTAATAACTTAAAAAGACATACAAATTTTCATTAAAAAAGAAGGCATAAAAACTATCTCCGCAACACATTTGAATACGAGAATCAGATGATATAATTCTCCAAAAATTATATCATCTAATTCTCGTATTCAAATGTGTTGCAGAGATAGTCTGACTTGAGCTCATCAAAAAGCGCATATACGCCGCATTATACTTGGGCAAACGCGGCTTGCGAAAAGAGAGAGAGAAAGAGAGTTCTCCTTCCTTCTCGACTTATCTCCACGAAGAGGATTTTCCAATTCTGTCTCCGCCATGATTTCACTGCTGCGTCCGTGAAGCTTCGATAAGAGATCGAAGACGGCGACTGCTCTCTGAAGGTTCGATACCTCCTGTGAAAGGTATCGGGGGCCTTCATTAAACCGGTCGACCGATCGAAACGACGTAATCGCGAGATGAAATATCCTCGCGTATAGGTTCTGCGATGCGTGTGACTTGGAAAAGGAAAGGCGGGAACAGCATACGAAAGATTGCGATTGAGCCTCAAGATCGCTGCTATCGGTGAATTTCGCAATTTCCGGCTGAATCCGACAATTTCCTCTTAGCAACGCAATTCGCTGCACGCGGTGCGGAACTTTTCGCGCGACCAACCGATCGGTCGTTCTAATTTACGTTTACAGCAGTCGCGAGATGATATCAAACAGCGATATTCCTCAGACAGAATGGTCAAACCGTATGGAAACGCATTGAGAAACCGCAAGAAACGTAACGTTTATGATGCACTTAGTATATTTTCTTCTTGACTACTTGAATATAATTATTTTTCACATGATTATTCAAAACGCGGAAAAAATTACATAATTAGATTTTCCTAAATTTTAAGAATCCGCAGTTTCCTATGAGATAACGGAGATCGATTTGACTCAATGGCTGCGCTGATAAATCAAGCAGAGGACACCTCTCTGAGTCGCTGAGTCGAACTTTACGGGGTACCTTGTGAGGATCAATAAATCGTGAAATTTATACTGATCCTCTTCAACCCTTTCCTTCTCTAAGCAGCGACGCGGAAATCTTCGATCTAATATATGTAGAAGTACGGAAGGTTCAAGTTAAATGCTATCGAAATTTTAAACAGCAAACATATTCACGCGAACTTCACACCGCCATTTCGACGAATTCGTAAGAAACGATCTTCCGCGATTATTCGCTGTTATCGTTTATAAGTCATCTGTCGTACGTAGTACATGTTTCTCTCTCCCTTTTTCACGTAAATTATACAATAAAATTATTAGGTTTCAAAATAGACCACTTTTCAAATAGGTATACTTGTGTCTCGTATGGTTTTTACATATCGAAACGTATACGCAATGCTGAAATTTTTGTAAGATGTGTTTTTTTTGTTTTATCACATCCTTACGATCGTTCATTCTTTTTCTCCCATAGTGTTTCAAATGTATTAATTATAAAACTCTTGCAAAACAAAAACCAAATTTTTACTTGATTATCTTTATACAAACCTCTTTAACGTTACTGTATTTTATGATAATAATTTATCAATTTGAGAAACACACGAATGCATCTAAACATTTCAGCATCACAAAAAGAATTTCTCTTGATTTTTATTCGAATAAATTGTAAGATGAGACCTTTACGACCGTTTACTATTGCACTAATCCATTGTACCTCGAGCTTATTGAGAAAAATAAGCTCCTCTTTTCTCAAGTATTCATACCAGAATTTAAAGTCAACTAAGACTATCTTTCAACTAACGCTTCAAACTTTTATTCTTTCCTTCCCTCCATTGTTTCCTTATTCGATGCCCAAGTTTCCTTTTCATAACATCCTTTCCTACATCTAATATATCTACTTTGTCTCAACGTTCTCTCTGACTTTTCTCGATTGTCCTTTATTCTTTCAATAAAAAAAAAAAACTCTTTCTATTATTATTATTATTAGTCCGTGAGATTGATTTATATTTTGTTTAATGTAAATAACATACGCTAGTAGTGCAACGAACAGGTCGTCGATTTCTTCGACATATCGGTAACGACGGAAACTGATTTTTTAACGAGCGTTGCGAATTTCCAAAAATTCGTGTCCAACATCTTCGATATACGATGAATGTTAACATACTACAATCGACTCACCTTTATCTCTCGTTGCGATTCGTCAGGGGCATGTTGTCGAGAGCGTCCAACTTCCGTCACAGCGTTCGCAGACAAGCACTTCGCCACTCTCGATCCCGGTCGTTCCTCGATGATTATGCGTGTCGAAAAGAGAACAGATTCGCACCTTTTTCTTCCTCCTACTCGAATAACGCGCGACTGTGATGATGTTACATTTATTTACGATTATCCATTCATCTCACGACCCTTCTCTTTTTTCTTTCTCTCTCTCTCTCTATCTCTCTCTATCTCTCTCTCTTTCTCTCTCTCTTTCTTTATCTTCTCTTATCCTTATTTTCACTTGCTCATTATCGCGCGTTACACGTTTAAAATCAAGTCGTCTTTCTTTCCCGATCGGATGGACTGCTCTATCAAATATACATGTCTGTTTCCATCCTAAAGTTTTTTGCGTCCAGCAAGATGTTCGGAACGTGAACGGCTTTCGGGACCGACCGGCACCGACTGAACACTCCTGGCAGACGGCAACCCGAAGGACGACTTCGTGCTCCTGCGCCTCCGCGTTCAAGGCTAAACACGATAATGGCGTCCTCTGACGCGGGTGTTGTACCGAGAGCGGATCGTTCAACAAAGTCGGTAATGTAGATTGTCTCAGCAAACACGAACCGTGTTTCTATCAACGTCAGATAACGTCACGCGCGTCCGATATATGTGCCCGGTTTTCCGATTAGTTCTTTACTAATTGTCAATAAATTAGAAATTACAGACTCACTGGCACGTTATTTTACATATGAGTTCGCGGAAATTTTTTTATAGCAATAGCCAGTAAAATAGAAGTTTCTTTCATCAACATTTCGACACAGGCCATATATATATATATATATATAAATATATAAATGTGTGTGTGTGTGTGTATAATTTATATATTGCAAACTAAAACACTTTTATATACACATTTGTATTAAGAGTGCTGTGCGTGAAATATAACAACATTGAATAAATATGCAAAGACTAGATTTGTGTAGAGACATCTTTTTTAATACTGCGATTTATCAAATTGAGGGTCGCGACGTTATCGCATTTTGCTCTGCTAAATTCTATATAGTTATATATTTGTTTGTAAGCATTTATAACTCGTGTATTTACGGTTTTACTAGAAAAGGAAAATGTGTTAATGGAAAAAGTTTCAGAGAAATATATTTTAAATTCCACTCGAGAGTTTAATGTAAAAATGTCACGAACGTCCTCCGTGCTACAACGCATTCGTTCGTTGCCAATTAAAGCGCATTAAATAGTAAATCCTGGAAATTATATTACGATATGCATTGACGTATATTTACGCTACGACGTTAACAACTTGTATACAAAACCAATATAAATTTAACTTTGAAGAACAAAAGACTTAGCCAAAAGCTTCTTTACTTTCGATTATCAGATCTATGTTTTGTATGTGTGATTTTTATTATAATATATTATATATAATTTTTTCTCTCTTTCTCTTAGATTTGATAACTTTTATACATTCCTTACTGCTGTTCTACATCTTGTACTCTACTAATATTTAATAAAAGGTACAATGTAAATACAATGAAACTTACAAGAACATTTCTCAATTCAAAGAAAGACTCGAAGGGAATCGATTTAACGAAGCTCTTAATTGACGCTACGGAAATATTTGTATGGTAATAATCACAGTCATTAATTAATTCCAAATCCAAGTCCGCTCTCTCGTCTTTTTTGACGGTAGAATCGTCGCGAAGGAACAAAGATAACATATACTTTTCCAGGAAACGCGATTCATAATTCATGACTCGTTACGTTTATCTATAGGGTGGCTCGAGGGTAGCTCTCCGAGCCCTTATACATATTGATACTTTTCTCAAGTCAAGTGCGCTAACTCTTTCTTTCCGAGCATTTAGACGTTACACACACATTGATATACCGTCGTTGTACGAGATATATTTGCGCATAATTTCTTTCATCGTGTTTAGATACGCGAATGTTCATTTGCGTGCCTCTAAAGAATGTTTGCACAACCCCTCCCGCTCCCGAGCACACCCTCTCTACTTGCAAAATGATAAGTTGACTGATAAATACTTTATTTCGCGTTATCTTACCTCGATATTTTCTTCCTCTTTCCTCTCAACGTTTGACGATATTTTAATAATAACGCTCTGCAGGAATTGACTGTCGCTCATTTAAAGACGTTGAAATGGAAACTGCGAAACTCGCGTCGCGCCATTTTATTCCGCTCTCTTCTCCCTCTCATCGTTTCCATAACCATTGTAACGTTGCACTTTGCCGCGATCTTTCGAACGGTTCTTCGGACATTCTCGACAACTTTGCGCGATTCACTTGGATGCAACTTGTGAATCCAATAACACGCGATAACATCTCGAGGCAAATAATAACAAACTACATCGCGATCGCGCCGTGTACATAAAATTTCGATACGCACTCGACCACACACGTGTGTCGGCACGATATGTACGCGAATTAAACACACCTATTTTCGACGTTCGTATTTTAAAGTTCACGCGTAAGTCATGTAAAACGATACCACGCACTCATCACGCTGCCTGATTGCACGACTCGTACGTTACGAAGGACTTTTGCGTGTGATCGTTCGAAGCTCGGCGCATGATTAGGTGCTCCCGGTTCCCAGGGTTTGTTTACATGCGGCGGCAGCTCGTTTGTTTTTTTTTTTTTGGTGCACGGAAAAAGCGAGACGCGTTCAACAAGTTCGTGCACTGTCACTCACGAAACGCGATACCACAGTAACAAACGCGTTAGCGTTTGGAAACAACAGCATCGTTTTGCCAATGAGCCGCGTGAACTTGGCGTTGATTGTCGAACACTTTCATGCGTTTGAAAATCGTATTCGGGTGACGCTCGAGTTATGACCAATGAAAACAAAATGAGCGAAGATGGACACAGCAACGTCATACGACGTAATGGTCAGTTTCTTATTCCGATTGGTTAATATAAACGCTCCACACTCGACGAGTTAGGTCTTTTCGAACGCAATCTTTTTACTTCGATACTTGGTTGAAAGTCGTCAGTTGCGAAGATTTGTCAATTTGTGCGCGTATTAAACGATTCGATAACGCGATTAATAACAACTAATCAACATCCAATGCGCACTTGCAACGATCCGGGCTTCGAGAATTCGCAGTTTCGCTTGCAGATGTGATATCAGGTTAGTTATGTATTACATTAATTGGCACACAATTGGCATTTTTTTCGGATCAGTAAGTCCGGATGTATCGCTTTTTCGCGAAGCTTCTTTTGAAACACAATAGCCTTTAGCCGTTATTTTAATTTTTTTACCACATTGATGTTTCGATAAAAAAGCAAAATGTATTGTGAATTAATAAATAATTGCGAGGTTCGCAAAATGTCAATAAAATTATCCGCTGATCGGACAAGTGCCATTTTCGTGTCGTGTATTTGGCGTCTTGTGAAAACGTTTTGAAAATGGTAGCAATTCTTCGCGCAACCAGGCGTTTCATATCCGAAACCGCCGGTTTTGCCAGAAGGCAGCCACCGTATCCGTTGGCTCGGTCTTGCCAAAGCCCGACAAGTCAGCTACGATAATATATAGGAATGTACATACGAGATGATATCGCGGGATATTTTGCAGTTTTATTTGATTCTCGCGACGCGAAGAGACACGAATACGTCACTCGGAAATGTAACGAAAATATTTGATTCTGTATTAAATTTGTCGGCAACGTGTGTAGTAAACAATCGAAAAGAGTATAATTGGCATATTAATATATTATTTCATGTTCAGTTTTGTTTTTTAAAAACTATCCAAAAATCGTCAAAATATCAAAGTATTATACTCTCGTAAAACAAGACATTCTTGAGTGATTTTACTTGTCTCAAAAAACATCATTTTTCAATATCCTCCGTAATTTTTTGTATTTGAATTTTTCGCTCGTCTCTTGAAAAAAACGCGTGGCAGCTAGAGAGCTTAGCGAATTCCTAGCGTAAAACTGGCGGGACGAGTTACGTTTCGCGAAAACGAACCGGCGGCGCGTCGACTTTAAATAAAGAAAGAAAGAACGAAAAGAAAAACAAAACAAACAAAATAAAACGACATCGAGATATATCCAGCGCGCGCCTATATATGGTCGAGCTTAATTATTTCGCGTCGCACGGTGGCGGCAGATTAGAATAAAGCTCACTTTGCGGTGAGAAGACTTCGTCCTCGGGAGGACCAAACGCAATCTGAAGTTGCCAAGTGCGGCCGCAAGAGAGGGGAGCAGGATAACAAGGGGGATGGAAGATTGGCTCGTCCCGGTCTCTCTGTTCGACTTGTGGAGAGACCTCACACGGATGAAAAAACTCCGATGGAGTTCCACAGCGCGGCCTTCTCGGTCTGGTCTCTCTGGCCCGAGGAAGCGGCGAGAATTTAATTAAGAATTTCCGCGGACGGCACGGGCGCCATATTGCTGTGGCACACACGCGTCATCCGGTCGCGAATCACGCGACTTTCTTCTCCCTTCCTCTCTCTTCGCAGCCACCCCTAATTAAATCGAAAGAAATCTCGCACTCTTGTTTTCTTTCTTTTCTCGTGGTTCTTCTTTCGTCTCTCTTTTTCTCTTTCTCCCTGAAATATATATATGTTTTCTTCCGCTTGTGGATTCTCGATCTCTTTCTTTCCGCATAAAAAACCGGCATCTCTTCAGCAGCAATTCGACAGTTCTGGTTGCGGAAAAGTTAGCAAAAAAAAGAAAATTTGCATTTTAACGTTCGTAGCTCGAAGAACGTGTTTCATTATATTACTTGTAAAATCTCGAGCAGCGACTATATAAAAAAACAAAGAATTGAATCCTCTACAAATCTTTATTCGCTTATTATCTTCAACTTATCGAATTAGAATACACTCAATATTTTTCTTAACAATTTGTTATATATCGTTAGACGTTATTTATACTATTGTATTATGCTCTTATGAATTTGTTCTATTTTATTACAGAAATAATATTGCATTGATTCTCATTATAGTTACATATTTACTTGTTATCGTACACATATCCTTCAAGCTACGCTATATTAACATAAAATATAGTATTTTTCGAAGTTTTGCTAGCAATGAATATTTTTGAAATAGTAAAATCCAACATCATAAATATAAATTAAAAAATGTATTTTCCTTTTGCTAATTTTTTATTATTAAACCACGTAAAGTAAATATGTTTTACGTACTAATATAGCAAGTGCAAAACTATAGCGTGGTTTATGCTATGGTTTTTTATATTATTAATTTCACGATTAAAAATTTGACGTGGCTGCAATGTGAAGAGATCTCTCCGTGATATGGATGATTTTATCAATTATTATAAAACAGCAGCATTGCAATCGGCGATATACATACGATATACGCTAGTCTCTTTCTCGCGTGTAATATTTAAATATAAAAGCGATATTTACGCTCCGTAAAATGTAATGCCGAACTAACTGTGATTACATTACGACGATTGTGTGTGTGTGCGTAAAGTGCGATTAGCGATTATTTTCATCCATCATATCGATTGTGCTGCTGCAATATCAAAAATAACTTTCGTGATAAAGTGACATTCTTTGACTCTGCTCGATAATAGATTCTAGAAGAGGAGGCCGCGTAATACTTTTTATTGCAATATTTGAAATTCCGGTAGAATTCAATCAATAATAGCTCAATCCACTATATTATAGATGCTGTGCGAGAGTAAATTTTAATGAAAAAGTATTGGAGTTTCGAACTGCGCGTGGTTAACTAAACAATTACATTCATTGTTGATAAGATCAGCGACGACGTGTTTCTGTGAGTGACGATAATTCATCGATATCACATTTCTACATTTTAATCATTTTGTATGAATTATTTTGCGTCTACGTATGTGTGTGTGTTCGCGTCCCTTCGTTTCCCATTCAGAATTTAATAGCATTACACACACATCAACAATTTTTTGTGCACACAAATTTTATATTTTCTCCCCCTCTCCTCCCCGAGTTTCATCGTTTTATTAACTTTCGTTTCACATTTAATATTTGAATTAAATGCCGCAACAATCTCTCTCGCACATTTCTTTGAATCACAATTCTGAATGAACAAAATTATTAATGAAAATTATGGAAGAATAAAAAGAATGTGCCTAACAATTTAGGGATTCCATTTTATGTGCTTCCATCTTGCACTTTGCTTCTGTCCGATGATACAATGCGCCATTCTTCTCTTTGACGTTGATTAACGATTTTTTTTAGCATTATACGTAAGGAGAGTGACATCTGTATTTTCTTTCCCCCTCATGTCCGGCGATTCGCGTCGTGTAGTAACAAAATCATGTCTTTAATCGACATATACGTATGAAAAAAATTTTTATTTTAATAACGCTTTAAAATCCATTTTTTGTAGAACCTCAAGCACACACACACACACGCGCGCATGCCGGCATGTGCCAGAGTTCGATGCTTTTTTTTGTGTTTTAATTGATTGTGTGAGCGCATGTCCCTTTTCAATAATAGAGTCGAATTCAGAAGAAAAAAAAATCGTTTATTTGATTCCAGCGCATACATGGTTTTTAACTTCACTAGATTTCGCGCTTTTTACAGAAATTTTATCGGTTCGCGCGAACGTAGAAATGTACAACGCATGTACAGTACAATCTTTTCCATAACACTTCGAACGAGTGAATCATAAAAATAAGGTCCTCCTTTTGCAGAAGCGAAAAGATTACCGCAAACATAGGAAAACATCATTAAGAAAGATAAACAGAAAAAACTTGCAAAAACACATTTTTTTTTAGAAAAAGATTTTTAAACTATCGACAATACCCACACAGACATAACGTTCATTAGACGTCTAATGGTCGTTCACAACTCTATGTGACGTCTAATGAACATCTAATGAAGGTTTGTATGGAATATTGTTCCGTGTGGATATAACGACTTACAGTAACACGCCAATTTTCTGCAATAATTGTGCATCTATACCGTTTGGGCTCTTTTCACATTGAAAACAGTTGGCCATTATACTGTGCCTCAGGACTCGCATCGTGAAAAAAAACTTGTCCCCCATTGTCACACGTATATTTTTCGTATGTAAAGTAGCTCCGTCCACTAACTTGTGTTAATTACGGTAATTACGTTATGAACACTTACGAGTAACTCCTTACACTTACGCCGAAACGAAAAGCTCGTGAATTTTTGCTCGTCTTAATAAAACACCGGTAAATCTTTTAACTTTAAGCCGAAACGACTGAAACCGACTAACAATAATATCACAAATGACTCGTCAATTATTTATATCCCCGGAAAATTCTAAACTATAAGTCTCTTTTCGTGATATATTTTATTTGAAAGTTGTCGAATCGTTTATATTCCAATATCTTACCTATTAGCGCAACGCGTTATGGCTCTATTAAAAACTTGAACGTCTAAAACAGTTTTTGCGTCTATATAAAATCTCACGTGAATACTCTTTCGAGCTTTTTAGCATTGTTAGTCGTTCAGGTCGATTGGCGTGGCTTATTGTATAGGCGGTAGGTCTCAGTCGAATGGGATCTGTATATACGCACATAGGTATTCCTAGCTTAATCATATCTGTTGGTAGAATTGACCTTATTTCACTCGTTGCGGTTACTTATTTACTTAATTACCACGATTTCTGTGCTGGTTAGCACACACGACG